ACCTAGGGGTATTGCCATCCATACACTTGGAATTAGCCTCTTTTTTAGGGATGTAAATGGAGTCAGAAAAGGTATACACAGATCTGAACTCAATCCTGTTAATATTTAGAAGAAGAAGAAGAAGAAGAAGAAGGATCCCATCTTGTTTTCTTTCTTTTTGTTTGAGGCATGCATGGGGTGCATGAGGCCTACGTACACCTCATGTAAAAGACACTTGAGGCATACACCTCATGCACTTGAGAGGCATATGTCTCAGGACGTTTTGAGGGTGTCTCGTCTGGAGGTGCACCTCTAGGCATATGCCTCTCACACCTTTTAAAATATCGATTTAGATTCAAATCTAATCTTATCCATCCAATCCAGATCATAGGCAGACTTTATGTCACTAATTAACTAAACTGAAAAAAGGTTATAATATTTTATATTACTAATAAAATGAACAAGAAATGACTTTGATATTATATATCATGAATAAGATGGCTTAAAAATAACCTCTATGAGACTAGAGCAGTTAAGCAAATGACTCTTTACTCTTTAGTAAAAACAGACAATTGAATGAAAGGTGCATGGACATTACACATGGGAGCCAGAAGCTGATATGTGTCCAACACGAACACTTCATTTAAGAGAGTCCATGAAACACTGACTTGAACCAACATATATTGTAATATTGTTAGATTGGATCCTGTTTCATCAGATTGGGCCAGATCCGAATTTGACCTGATCATAGATAGATCAAATTTGGATTGACTTAATAGAGATATATTTATCTTGTTTTAAATTGTTGGATTCTGATTCTCAGGGATAAGATTGGGATGGATCCATATTTGATCCAATTATAAATGGATCAAATCTGGAATTCCAGATTGACTTAATCAGATTGGATTTCAGATTTGAACTAGGACAAACAGATAAAAGACCACTCCTTTATGAAGACTCAGCAAGTTCCTTGGCCATATCCTTGCTCCCCTCCTCTAAATCTTCACCATTGACCATATTACTTCCCCCAAATCTCAAACCCTGTATCAATCTCTCTAAGCTCCTAGATGTGATTCAGACCAATAAAATTAGTAGAAATATTTAGATTAGAGCAGAAAGAAGGAAGGAAGAAGAGGAAGACAGCAAGAAGAAGAAGGAAAAATGGAGAAGAAAGGAGAAAGAAAGGAGGAGTTCAATAATCTCCTCTTTCCCCTACTCTAATCTTTTTATTAAACTTAACATAATTTACAAGGAGGCCCTTAAGTAGGCGTCCACATCAGCAATACACTTAAAAACAAAACAGAAGCTAAAGGCCCAATAAGAAAACATAACAAGAAGGAACTAATAAGAATGACACTAAAGGACTAGGGCCCATTCGGTTCAGTCTCTCTACACTCCTCAAACATCAACTAGATCAGTCTCGCACTTAGCTCCTCTGTTCTTTCTGGTGATAACCTTCAACCTACTTCAGCACCGTGAAATATGTTGTTGTCTCACAATGAAGGATAATGTAGCATGTCTTGACAACCCTTTTGAAGGTCTGCTTAAGTTCAAAGCTTGCATATGGGCTCAATATCCAAATAGAAAAACTCCTTTTCCCATCATTCTTCTTCAGTTATGGAATTAAAAAGGCAGTGGAACTACACAACCCCTTTCCATCTTCCTGTTAACTAGGTTGCATATCTTGCCAAATAGACTTTAGTCTTTAACCATTTAGCTATTTTCACACCTTATATTTGTCTGATTATCTCCACATCGTCCAACACTCACCATGTTAACTAATAATATTGTTTCTATTACAAATTTTCATTATTTGGGTCAAGCCATTGCACTTCCTATTGTTTGTTTCTTTTCACTTCAAACTTAGCAGCAAAAAATTACTGGCTTGCAATTTAAACAGTTGACCTGGCTTCAAATGATCTTTGTCACTCAAACTCCACCCTTTCCCCACCCTAAAACCCCCTCAAGAAAATTTAAAAGAAAAAAAGGAAAGGAAAAAGAAAATGATCAAATCTTCTCTCCATCACAGTAGAAGTAAGCCATTCCATTTAGCTTTTCTTTTTCTTTCTTTTGTTTCTGGTATCCGATACTTCAACTGAAACCACTCCTCACTTAAACCTTCTTCAAATATTTCTCATAAGGTGGACTCTATTCTGCTCTGCAACCAAAGCCTGTCTTTCCTGATGGTCATAGAATCAAATTATTTTGTTTCACGCAAGTATTCCACTACCTCCCCTCCTCAACAGTCTTGCCATTATTTAACCTATTCTGGTAGCACAGTCACGTGAGGATGTTTTCTAAAAACAACATACATTTTTATAAATTTTCTATACTAGAATAATTTTTCCAATGCTTTGCTGAACAGTTGACTAGTTTGATAATATACATATAAGTTAGAGAATAGTTAGTTGTATACTTAGGTAAGATATTGTTTAAGGAATCATGTCATTGTCACTTATTGATTTTACATTTTAAAAATATGCTATGTTTCATTGATTCAGATGCTAAAACAGTGGAGCTTAGGAGTTTTTTAATCTCTAACAGTAAAAGATGTATAATGATATAAGGATATGAAATGAGTAAGATCCCTAGGGTGTCAAAGAAACTAGCAAGGGCATCGCTAGCCTAACAATGGGCTTCCCTGCACAACATGCAAAATAGGTTCAAAAAAGATAAAGAATCTAATCAGCTTGACAAAATTGGCCCCTAGCAGTGACCCTCAATATCAACATCTCTCCAAGACTACCATCAACTTAATAGTAAGAAAAATTAATAAAATGTGAACATGCAAGACAACTGATCTATTTTCAAAAAAGACAACCACACCAAGATATCCAATTTCACTCCAATGTAAAGAATATATAATTGAATGAAAATTTTCATAAGAAAATTACAAAATTACAAGTTATGTTTATAGAGACCAGGTGTGGCATTGAATCAGTAATTCAGTGTGAAAACATATGGCATCAACTAGGATAGAAGAGATACTGACATAAGCTTTATGATGAAAAAAGCAAGATCAGGCTTGAAGATGAAACTGTTACTCCTTCCACTCTTACATATATAGTACGTAACTGCTCCTTTCAAAATACAAAGTAATACTCATATTATTCTCACAAGTCATGCTGGTTTTCAGTAACTGGAACAAAGAGGATATGTGACAGATAGGAGCCAGTGTCTTGTGGCAATCAATCTAATAAACTAGATGAAGAAAGACTCTAAAAATGCACTCATTTTATCCATGAAAATGCATGAGTTTCCTATTTCCGCTATTCTGAGTGCTTCAAAGAGAATGAAATCAGATGGCTTGAAAACATAAGCAGGACCATCTTGTGCACCATATAGCATCTTCTCAGCATGGTGTTGTCTTATTACCTATCACGTTATGGCTTGCTCAAAGCTTCAAATTTACAGCTATTCACATGTATATTGTGGATTTTGTTGGTCTTTTGTAAACAATATAACAACTTATTGGTACAGATACAGGATCAAAATAAATAAAATCAAATAATATTCTTTTCAATTTTTTATGGAAAGAGAAAAAAAAAGGAAAAACTTGAAATTTCAAGTTATGAAGTGAAGATTAGGTAACACCAAATGGATTATGGAACTGCATGAATTGGAGATTATGGTTAGAATTTTCTTCTCTTCATGTCAGGGCAAAGTAGATGCTTGTTCTTTATCAGAAACAGTAAATAGTACTTTTATGAAGAGTAATAAGGTGGTAAAAGCCCAGAACTCAAAGAGATTGGAATGGAGGGGCTCAGTGCAACAGACAAAGGCTGATAAGCAACAGATAAATGATCCATCCCAGATTCACACATTAGTCCATGATCCAGGCTATCCAGCACCAGCTCATCTCTGTTGACCCTGTTCCTACCTAAACAATATGTCATATCCGATTGGTGGATAATTTCTTTTGCATCTCTAATTAGGAATCTAAAGGAACATGGGCCTTCCGCATTAGCTTTGTACCATCCAACTACCGAATTCAGATTAGCTGAACGGGATGGCTGTTCAGCGGGCTGTAGAACCAATGATAATGTCCCACACCAGCGAGAAAATACATGGGGCCCACAGTGAGAAGTTAAATGGTTGTTGGTCCCATATATTTTATTATTGGTGTGGAGTGTTATCATTGGCTCCACAGCCCGCTGAACAGCTATTTCCTGCAGCTAATCCTTTCTCCCTCCTACCACCAGAAAAAGTACAACAAATTAGATAGCTTTGAAAAATACAGGAGTGCAGTGTAGCACATCTAAAGTGTTCTTTAATCGTTACACTGTATTGGTTGGTTGAAATTGTAAAGTTGAGAGTGCACAGAGATCGTTGCAATGCTAACTTGCAAATATGGAGAGGGAATGATTATGTCAAATAAAAAGGAAGGGAGACACAACCATAGGGGAAGCACACAAGACAATATAGTAATTAGTAATTGTACAGCATAAGGATCAACACATGTGCATCTTTCCACTGCTACACTGATACAGCACAACGCCAACACATCTCAATTGTCAATAACAAGTGAAGTAGGGATGCAAATTGAATCAAGTTTCCATTTTTAGTTGGTTAGGTTAATTATTAATACTGAATTTTATGGTTCATAGCCATTCCAAGAAATAATTATAGAATAGTTGAAACCCCTGGTCTGTAAATTAGAAAGTTTAAATGCGGCAAACAACCTAAAGTTGAACAATCAAATCCAATTAAAAATGAAATCCAGGTTTTATAATCTGAGACTTCATTTTGGGACGTAGTTCATGATGAATTCAGTAGAATAGGAAAATCATGTCTAATCCAGACAATTTACCAGGGCAGGTGACAGATTCAGATCTCTAATTCTCAATAACTATAAAGAACTAATCTAATGCCCTGATAAAATTTCGTGTGTTCTTCAATTTCCAAAGTACATCCTTCACAATTAACACCCAGAATAATTGCAGAAACTGCATAAAGAGATCTGCTTGACAAAAACCAAAAGATCCACATCAGGCTCAACTCAAAGAAAAGACTGAATATACCTCAACGGTCCAAATGAAGAAGTCCAGAGGCTCCGGTTGCCGTTCTTTGTTCATCTCCAACGTCGGCAGTCAAAAACCTGAAATTTTCATAAGAAATATCCACTCATCACCCGAGTTGCATAAACTGTTCCAATAATTCAGAAAATTGGACAAAACTATGGGAATCCTATTGCTGAGTTCGAAAGTATTTACCGTGTAAAATGGCGTGAATCGGGGATAGTTTCTACATTTGAGAAATGATCCTGCGGAGAGAGAATTCGTAGGTGAGAGGAGCAGGTGCAGGAGAGAAAAATAAAAGGGAGGACAGTCTCTCTCTCTCTCTTCTTTTAATGGACCGATGGGCCCGACCGCCCACAACGACCCACCACTTAGTTTAACTTTTAGCCCAGATGACTATCCCTCTCCGTTCCACGGTCCATGTAATTGTCTCGCCGGTAACGGGTTATTGCGGTTCCGCTAAAATTAACTAAATTGATCCTCCTCTTGACTCTTAATGCCAAAACCACGATTCTCTCACGTTAGCAATGCTAATGGCACACTGTTTTTCACTATATATGTCTCCTCTCAGGTCGGATTAGCTGGTTAGGTCGAATTGAGGTTAATTCTGGTTGGGTTTGGAGTAACTTGGCCCAAGTTACAGCCATAATCCTACAGTTTAGATTTGATCTTTACATAACCGTCCTCACAGCCTTTTGCAACCATGAATTAGGAACATCTCGATCATTTTATGCTTCTATTTACGGAGAGAGGTATTTCGAGGGTCTGTTAGAAGTTAGAAAACCCTAGCACTGTTTAAGTGAAAATAAATATCAAGTTATCAACCATTTAAAGCTAAGTGGCCATAAATGCATAAATGCCTGTTGTCTGCCATACTTGTACAGTTGCTATACGTGGCATGTTCTCATAGTCTGATATTTGAATTATATGAACACGTGGCATGTTCTCATAGTCTGCTATACGTGCCATACTTGTACAGTTGCTAGACAAGCTAGTTATGTCTACGTCAGTTTTTGGCTTTTTGGAATGGTAGCCGAGAAGTCTCCCGACCTAAAGCGCCTTGGTGCTCGGGCTGGTCTAATCCGATTGGATCGGTTGGTACGAGTGGGTCGGGTTACAACGGAAAATAATCTAGGAGTGGTAAATGGATGAATTGGGTAGGGTGCGGGTTGATTATCAACATACTCATAATTAACTCATTAATCCATTTGCCACCCATGTTAGTGGGTCAGAATAGGCCTTTGACCCTGATCTACTCTAACATGTGACTCTCAAATTCAAATTAAACTTTTTTACCATAACCCTGGATTTTTTAAAATATTGCAAAACTGTTGTATAAAAAATAGAAAAATTGCATAAAAATACAAAACCACAAAAAATGTAAAAATTGATAGATATTGCTAAAAAGTGAAAACACAAAATGATACAGATTTTCAAAATGTATGTTTTTAGCCGAAAATTCAGATATTTCAGAATAATAGATAAAATAATAAAATAATTCAAAAAATTATATATTTCAACTAAAAATAATAATTATAGAAAAATAAAGGAAATGATGATAAAAATTTCCAAAACTATATCTTTGAGGTAAAAAAAAGGAAAAAAATAAAGAAAACATATAAAACGATAAAAAAGTTCAAAAAAAATCAGCCAAAAATTAGAAATTATATTTTTTCTACTATAAAAGAAAAAATGCAGAAAATTATAAAAATAATAATCATCTATTCCTTGTTATATATATTTCAACTAATAACAGATTATAAAACAAATTAAAAAATAATAATCACATAAAACATACAAAAAATGATAAAAATCTCAAAAAGAAATTGGTTGTGGCAGTGTCTCCTAAGTCCTATTTGACTTCACTTCTTTAAGTATTTAAAATAAGTGATGGGACCATACAATAAGCACTTATTCCTCTTTGGCAAATAAGTTAGGTATAAATGCTTATTTCGAAAATAAACACTTAAAGAATAAATAGGTTCAAGGTGGCTTTTTTAAGCACTTGTTCAATAAATGCATATTCGAAAATTTTGAGACAATCCAGTCTCTAAATATTTTTTGTAATACCCAAACTATCCCTGAGAAAACCCGTCTTCTCCATTTGCACGGTCTGAGCAGGGTAGTGGCGGCAAGAGATTGGAGGGATGACCGGTGACGACTTTAATGACCAGAAACCGACTAGTAGGCAGTAGTTTTTTGTTTTCTAGTGTTCCTATTGCTTCCAAAACCAGTTTGCATTGTTTTTTTTTTATGCTTTTTAACCGACCGGACTGCATGTGGCGTTTTTGTTCAGATCTGAAATTTAGGATTGAAAACTCACCAGAATCTCACTGGTAATTGCAAGTAGGTACTCCTATGCCTAATACTTATGTCCAATGTTTTTAACCCGTCGCTGACTCGGATGGTCAAACCGTTTGAATCATTATTTGACCACATTTCCAGTTCTAGTTTCATTAAAACCCATCTTTTAAGCTTAGTTTGGAAGGAGTGAGTACAAATACAAATATGTAGAGTACAAAATCTTGTATTTTGTATTGTTTTGAATGTATTTGCTTTCTATATATTTGTATTTATACTCCTTCCAAACTGAGCTTTAATGAAAAATTGTTGACCAAGTCAACAAACCGTCAACCTAGACAACCTAGTTAGCGGGTGACAGTTAGATTTACAATTTTTGAAAATGCCAAACATGTCCTAACCCTTTGCCCGATCCCAACCTTCTTTTATTTTCATTATCCTTTTACTTTCTTTTTTTTTTTATTTTAGGGTTTTGCTGAGAAGAAACAAAAGAGGAAATTTTGTCTTTCAAAAAAAGAGAATGGAGATCCCACCATCTTTGAATGAGAAATTTAGCGCTTGCAAATACAGTGGTTATCTCCGATGACTTGCAATTGGATCCAGAGTTTTTGAGGGTTTTTCTAAGAAGAAATGGGAGAGAAGTTTCTGTCTTTTAAAAGAAGAGAACCCCACCATTGTTATATGTAGAGCACAAAACTTTATATTTTGGTTATTTTGTATGAATTTATACATATTTGTATTTATACTCCTTCCAAACTGAGCCTTAGCGTCAGAAACTACAATGATTATCTCTAGTGACCTGCATTTGGATTTGGAGTTTTGCACGATTTATAATTGTATTTTCGTTTTTTTTTTTATTTTTTAATACTCAGAACTCTCAGATTCTAATGCTAATCTACGGCGATTTACATTCAAACAACAGCCTTTTCATTCTAATCTATATGTTTTTTTTTTTTTTTCTGATTTAATCATTAAACGTCTACAAGCCTACAAGTGGGCAATCCTTTTGGTTTGGATGATTGGAGTTCAAGTTTGAAGTTTAAAAAGGGAAAACTTTTATTTTTCAGAAATTCTGTAATCTCTTATTTTCTCGTCTGAAATTTTCTTATGGGTTTTTTGAGAATTATATTCCTGAATTGATTTCATATTCTGAAAATGACATTTTTCAAGAATGATTACTGATAATTTTCTGTAATTTTTTTGCTTTTCTCATGCATTTTTTGGTTATTTATACATACTCTTTTTGTAAATCTTAGGCATTTTTTTTATATTTCAATTGGTTTATATATATATATATATATATATATTCATCTCCTTTTCATTGGTTGTGTATATTTTAGTGCAAAACTGATTTTTTTTTATTTTTCATTAATATAAATCAAATTTTAGTGCAATTTTGTATGTGTTTTTGTTGTACATTTGTTTGTTTTAATAACTAGATTTTTTTGTGTTCATTTTAGTTGAGTATTACACCAATAATAGCAATTACTGAATTTTTTTTGTTATTTTTTGCATATTCTGAATTCTGATTTGATTTTTTGGAATACTAATGTGAATATTTGGTTTTTTTTTTTTTGAAAATTCTCATTGCAAACTTGTGGTGTTCCTCCATATTTTTTGCTTCTTGCATAATACATATTTTTATTTTGGAATAATATGCAATTTATGATTTTATTTTGCATAATATATTATTATTATTATTATTATTAGGATAAAATCTCTTAAACTACCTCTACTGTTTACGAAATTGACACGCGATACCTTAACTGTTTAGCTATTATCTTGTCGTTCCTTAAATTTGACAATTGATTAACTCTACCCCTGCTGCCGTTAATATCCGTCAATTATGCTCTCCGACACTGAAAGCTTCGGAACAAGTACGAAGGAACCGGGGGAGAGGGAGAGGGAGAGGGAGAGAGAGAACAGGAGTTGTGCCCATACAACTTCATTCTCAGACCTCCATGCTCAGAGGTGGTGGTGGAGGCTATGGCGGTGGCGGTGCTGGTGGAAGCTATGGATCTGACAATGGCGAAAACTATGGAACTGGCGGTGGTAGTGGCTATGCAGGTGCTGCTAGCGGGGGCTATGGAGGTAGTGGTGGCGGCGTGGCGGTGGTGGAGATTATGGAGGAAGTGGTGGTGGAGGTTATGGGAGTGGTGGTGGCGGTGGCGATGGTGGAAATGGCCGCTGTCGGTGGGGGTTACGTCTCTGGAGAGAACATCGGCAATCTCTTCGGTGAGTGCCATATTCTTTGTTGTGTTGCCAGAAGTTGGAGCACATAGAGGAGCTCACTGTGGAGAGCGTGAACGACAGAGACCCGTAACCTCGAGAACCCAGATTGAAGCATCACGTCTCTGCAAAACCTCGATAACCCATGCCTCCACTTCCCCAAGTAATCCAACACAGAGGCTGGAAACAGAGGTATACATCCCAACCATGCCTCCACTTCCCCAAGTAGATTCTCCATCGGATAAATTTGGAGGGAGTTCCATAGAAGTCAGACGCAGAAGTTGAGAGTGGGCTGAGATCACAGTGAGCTGGCAATTCTTGTTTCTTGCAATAGCAACAGCCAAGCTCAAACTTAACACAGAATCACCCACATCACCAAATAACAAGTTAACACAGAACCACCCACAAGCACCAACACACAAAGCAAAATAAAGAAAAAAAGCAGTCGGAAGAACGAGGAGGAAATTCATCTTGTTCTCCGATCGAACATTCGACGCCTTTTAGAACAATCGCTAGAGTTGGATCGTTCCACCAAGGTTTTCAAGGCATCCCGTAAGAAGCCGATAGATTCGTCGCTATTGTCTCCTTCTCCGGCGATGACTAGAACGTTCCGGACTCTACCTCCCAACATCGCCATTTCTGCTCGGATGGTCTTCAGGCGGGGGGATTTTAGTGTCTCGATCAGATTGGGCAATAAATCAGATCAGTCTTCGTGCTTTCAGAATCAATCTCCTAGTACCGGAAAAATCACCTGGGAATACAGTGACCGAGTTGTTCTGCTC